GGAGGGAAAAGGGTGGGTAGGGTCGGGGTCTAGGGCACCGGGGTCGCTCCCCAGCAATGAGGCAGGGGTAAAGGTGAGCTAGATGGAGAGATAGACAGACAGAGAACTGGACTTATCCAGAGTGCCAGTTGTACTCCCCTTGGGGTTGGGAGTGTACAGTGGTAAGAAAAGAGAATATAGGGAAAGTCGGTCAGTGGTGTGTAAGGAAAGTGTGATTCGGTTGTGGGCCACTGCGGTCCGGTCAGTGATTGAGAAGTATCCCTCAAGTGAGCGTTTGTTTAGGGTGGGGAAGTCACCAGTGTGTTGCGGGTGTTGGCGTGCAGGGTAGAGCCACTGAAAGCAAAGTAGTGATGCTGAGGTGGTAGGGGAATGAATGTATGGTCTGTGGTGCTTGTAGGGCACACGTGCCGGGTCTGAGCGCAAGGATTACAATTCAGCATTGCACCTGTATAAACATATAACCTACATATCATCATCAGTATACATTACAACATGTTCCAAATTATTATGCAAATTCTATTTAAGTGTCACAAAGATTAAATATTTTGTTTTTCAGTTTAACTCATGGATGGCATTGTGTCTCAGGGCTCTTTTGATCACTGAAAACAATCTCGGACACCTGTGACAATTAGATTGCCAGATGAGCCCAATTTAAAGAAAAACTACCAAAGGAGGGTGTTCCACATTATTAAGCAGAGCACCATTTTCATGCAATATGGGGAATAAAAAGGATCTCTCTGCTGCCAAAAAGATTGAAATAGTTCAATGCTTTGGACGAGGTATGAAAACATCAGATTTTTCACGAAAACTTAAGCGTGATCATCGCACTATTAAGAGATTTGTGGCTGATTCAGAGCACAGACAGGTTTGTGCAGATAAAGGCACATTGAGGAAGATTTCTGCCAGATCAATGCATCGGATCAAGAGAGCAGCTGTTAAAATACCATTACATAGCAGCAAACAGATATTTGAAGCTGCTGGCGCATCTGGAGTCCCACGGACATAAAGGTGTAGAGTCCTCCAGAGTCTTGCAACTGTGCATAAACCTTCTATTTGGCCACCACTAACCAATGCTCACAAGTAGAAATGGCTGCACTGGGGAGAAAAATACATGAAGACTAATTTTCAAACAGTCCTGTTCACTGATGAGTGCCGTGCAACCCTGGATGGTCCAGATGGATGGAGTAGTGGATGGTTGGTGGACGGCCACCCAGTTCCAACAAGGCTGCGACGTCAGCAAGGCGGTGGTGGAGTCATGTTTTGGGCCGGAATCATGGGAAGAGAGCTGGTCGGCCCCTTTAGGGTCCCCAAAGGTGTAAAGATGACCTCTGCAAAGTATGTGGAGTTTCTGACTGACCACTTTCTTCCCTGGTACAGAAGGAAGAACTATGCTTTCCGTAATAAAATCATCTTCATGCATGACAATGCACCATCTCATGCTGCAAAGAATACCTCTGCATCAATGGCTGCTATGGGGATAAAAGGAGAAAAAGTCATGGTGTGGCCTCCATCCTCCCCTGACCTCAATCCTATTGAGAACCTTTGGAGCATCCTCAAGCAAAATATCTATGAGGGTGGGAGGCAGTTTACATCCAAACAGCAGCTCTGGGAGGCTATTCTGACATCTTGCAAACAAATTCAAGCAGAAACTGTCCAAAAACTCACAAGTTCAATGGATGCAAGACTTGTGAAGCTGCTATCAAATAAGGGGTCCTATGTTAAAATGTAACGTGACCTGTTAAAATGTTTAAAAAGTTAAAATGTTGTTATAAGTTTGATTGAAATAGCTTTTGATTTCAGTAAATATGCTGCAAACACAACAAATGACAATTTTCAGTTCTTTACAACCTATAAAGTGTTTTGAAACTTACTGTGCGTAATAATTTGGAACAGTGCATTGAAAGTTTTATGTTTAAAAAAAATACTGTTATCATTAGGTTTGTTCAATAAAATTTGAATTGTTCTCTTAATAGTTGATAACATGAGAATTATGCTGACTGTTATTTACATCAATTATTTAGGTAAATGAGAAAAATATAATTTGCATAATAATTTGGAACAGGGTGAATAGTAACATCAAATGCATGTAAAACCTTAACAGTAGGGAAATTAAACTGTTCACCAGCAGAGTGGGAAAATCAGATTCTTGGTTATGTCTCGTGGATGGTCACTTAAGCTATTCCCCGTCCCTTCCCACCTCCTCTCCCGTATTCTATTTTGTTCTTTCTCACCCCCGTTCCACTTTCAGCTGTGTTCTCTCCTCCCCCTCCTCTCTCTTTCCCTTTTTTCTTCTCCTCCCTTTTCCCATTTTTTGCTCCCCTCCCCCATTGTTCCTCTTTTCGTGTATCCCCTCTCTTTACGTTTCCAGCGGTCGTTTTGGGTGAACTGGGATGTCAAAGAGTTGGGTAAGTATGTGAAATTTGTTGTCCTTGCGAACCGTCAATTTAAATGGATGCCCCCAGGCATATCTCAAGTTGTATTGTGTCAGCATTTAAGTGAGCAGGTGCAACTCTCTCCTTTTGTGCAGCGTGCTTGCCGCTAGATCTTTATATAGTTGCACCTGGGCCCCTTCGATTTGGAGCCGAGTATGCCTGGCCGCTGTCATCAATCTTTCTTTTATGTGGAAATAGTGCATCTGCACTATGACATCTCATGGTAGAGTGTTGGCTGCTGGGGATCGTAAGGCCCGGTGTGTGCGGTCCATCAGTAGGTCGGTTTCTGAGGACTCAGGCAGTAGGCTCTGGAAGGCTTCTGTGAGCGTTGGTTGCAGGAGTTCTATGGAGATGGACTTCGATATACCCCTGATCCTGATATTGTTTTGACGGGACCGGTTACTCAGGTCCTCCTGTGCCTCCTCCAAACTCTTAATTTGTTCCCTGAGTTATTTAATAGCCAAGTCGTGGGAGTGCACTGCTGACATTGTGTCCTTCATTTTATTCTCCACCTCATGCATCCGCATGGCCAGGTCTGTGAGGCTTTCATGTAGAGGTTGGAGGTTTTTTTGAAGTTCTTCGGCCACATGTGTCTTGAATTCGTGCAAAAAGCCTCTCATGTCCCTCCTGCTGCCTTCAGATATTGAGCAGCTGTCGTCTGATTCGCTGTTGGAGGGTGCCATGTTGCAGGTAGGCGTTTGGGCCTTGTCGGGTCGTGGGTGGAATATTGGCGCCACGGCACTCTGCTTGGCCTTGCGCCCTCCGCCCATCATAAGCTGGGGCCGGCAGATGCTGTAGTGTTTACCCAGTTCCAGTGAGGTGAGGGAGGCACTCTATTTGGCTGTGGTTTCGGCGGGACCACGGTAGAGCTGCACAATTATGCGGCCATCTTCTTGGTGAGTCAGGCTCCGCTCCCCAGGAAGGGCAGTGTATTGAATTGGGGTAGCAGGGGAGGGCAGTGTATTGAATTGGGGTACCAGGGGAGGGAGGGCAGTGTATTGAACTAGGGTAGCAGGTTAGGGCAGTGTAATGAATTGGGGCAAGAGGGGAGGGAGGGCAATTGAATTGGTGGCGGGAGAAGAAGAGCAGTGTATTAAATTGGGCAGGATGGAGGCGTATTAACTTGGGGGGGAAAGAAGGGCAATGTATTAAATTAGGGGAGGGGGATGGAGGGCAGTGTATTAAATTAGGGGGGAGAAAGGCAGTATATTAAAATTATATGCACACAGCAGTCCTAATGCAAACTCACTGTAGCTCTATACACACACTAAAGTCCATACACATGAACATTAGATACACGTATAGGCACACTACAGCCCTTAGATGCACACACACCCTCTAGACACACACTACACCACATAGACAATCACATACACTACACCCTCTAGACTCACAAACACTCTCTATAGCCCCTAGACTCAAACACTACACCCCATATACAAACACAAACTATCCCTATAAATAAAAACACACATTACAGCTCCTGTAACATGCTACAACCCCTAGATACACCCACACAAGAGTCCCGATACAAATACATGCACACTACACCCTCTAGAACTACTACAAATACACACATGCTTTCTCTCTCTCTCTCTCTCCAACTGCTAGACAGAGACACACAATCTCTACACACCTTAGACGTATACACTTTACATCCAGTGGAAACATATACACACTACAGTCCCTAGCCACAAATAGTACAACACAGACTCCTTTACACACACACACACACACACACACAACACTCCAAACAGTCACTTCAATACACATGCAATCTCGCAATCAGCCTCCAACCACATACAGTGCCACAGAGAGCCTAATCACACATGCACAACATCTTTTACTGGTCACACCCCACTCTGCCTTTAACCTCTTAAGGACACATGACATGTCTGACATGTCATGATTCCCTTTTATTCCAGAAGTTTGGTCCTTAAGGGGTTAAATTCCTAGGCTGTTTTCTTGAGAGCAATTAGGCATGTTAAAAACTGGGACAGATTCAACATCCTGTTTCAGCAGGTTTTGCACATGTCAAGTCTCCCTTAAAGTGGCTCTGTCAATTCAAACTTATCTTTCTCCTATTATTTCCTTTTTCAGAATGGGTTCTTCTTTTCTTCATTTCTGATCTATTTGTCTGTAAAACATATTGAACAGTCAGTTTTTGAAAAAACGGGCAAGCAAAAAAATCTGGTTGACTTTGAAAAGGGCAGAGAATTGATGGCTAGACAACTGGATCAGAACATCTCCAAAATGGCAAGTCTTGTGGGGTGTTCCCGGTATGCAGTGGCTAGTACCTACTAAAAGTGGTGCAAGGAAGGACAACCGAAAAAACGGGAGTGAAAGTGAAAAAGGGGAGCGAAGGCTAGCCCGTCTGGTCTGATCACACAGAAGAGCTAATGTAGCTCAAATTGCTGAAAAACAGAATGCTGGCCATGATAGAAAGGTATCAGAACACAAAGTGCATCAAGGTTTGCTGCGTCAGAGAGTCCATGATGAACCCTGTCCACTGCTGAAAGCTCCTTCAATGGGTACATGAGCCTCAGAACTGAACCATGTGGCAATGTATGAAGGTTGCCTGGTCTGATGAATCACATTTTCTTTTAAATCAGGTGAACGGCTGGGTACATGTGCGTCATTTAGCTGATGAAGAGATGGCAGCAGGATGTACTATGGGAAAAAGGCAGTCTAACGAACGCAGTGTTATGCTTCTGGTAATGCTCTGTTGATAAACCTTGGGTCCTGACATTAATGTGAATGTTACTTTGTCACATACTACCTAGAGATTGTTGCTGACCACGGACACCCCTTGAGGGCAATGGTGTTCCCTGATGGCAGTGACCTCTTTTCAGTAGGATAATGCACCCTGCCACATTCCACAAAATGTTCAGGAATGGTTTGAGGAACATGACAAATAGTTCAAGGTGTTGTCTTGGCCTCCACATTGCCCAGTTATTAAATGTCTTAAATATTGCACTGGTTCTCATGTCACCTATTTAGTGAATATATCCAAATATATTTTCTGTAGCTTGACATCTCTACCAATTATACCTGTGTAATTTCTGTATTCTCTTCCTGTGTTTTGCTACATTTGCTCAGATTTTGTGTCGAATTAAATCCCTAGAATAAAGTAGCCCTTGAGTACACAATTTCATGTGACATGCTAACTAATGCTCGTTATTTACTCAGTAATATGAGAACGGATCACATTCTCCCTTGTGTCATTATCAAGCACCTCCAGTGAGTCAGAGACGAGAAGTGTATTGCACATTAACTAGTCTGCAACCACCAAATACAGGAGCTATTAACATTTTATGTGCATGGAAATTAGTCTTCCTATACATGCAAGATCTTCAAATGATGCATTGCACCTTGTTCTGCACCACAGGGATTTCGACATACTTTGTAGAGCTGTGTGAAGCAAGCCCCTGGTGCTCTGAATTTAATGTTCTGCCTACAGAGTTTACCTATCCCTGTATATTAGTACTCTATGCAGATTAGTTCCATTTGCATTAAAGTGTGGGCATTTTACATATTCTTGTTTATATGAATCATTACAGTGACATTCAATATATTTGTCAGCACTTTAGTACTGAGACAGATATTTACAGGGATGTGCAAAGGTGTGACCTGTTTCTGAGCTTTTACTTCATTTAGTGCAGGAAAGTCATGCTCATTTTACACGCAAATACAAACAAAACAGACATACAATGCAAACATAAATACACACACATAAAGTTTACAATCTACACACTTTATTTTATATATATATGAAACCAAGAGGCTATTTTTCAAATTGAGGTGTGTATGTTGCCATATTCTGCTTCTTATTTATGGGTGCTGCTGTTGCATTGCATTTGTGTGTATTTCCTGAGGAACGTTCTGTACTGGAACTGAAACGTTGATCACTGTGGCATCTTGCTGAATAAAAGCTATGTTTTTTTCACCATGTTATCTAGTCCCTGGAGTGCTATCTTTCTATAGACTGTTATAATTTTTGCTGACAATATCTGCAGGAGTGCAAGTATTGGATATTTCTGTGTGTGTGTGTGTGTATATATATATATATATATATACACACACACACACACACACACACACCAATAGAGTTGTGGTGGGGAAAAAAGTGTGAATCAAAACCCCTTCCACCTGAAGTAAGTGGATATTTAATACATTCCTAAACACATACACACACCAGCCAAGCCATAAGACTTGCTTTTCCCACAGAAATCTCACTTTAACAGTGCTCTCACTACTGCACGGGATTCTGGGTAGGTGTATGCAAATGAGCTTAACAAAGAAACACATTTTTGCCTCATAATTCTACTTTATACATGGATTCCTTGGAGTATGTGTCTGCGGTATACAAATATATATATATATATATATATATATATATATATATATATATTAAAATCTTTCAAGATTGAAGTTGCTGTTTAGTGGATAGGTGAGTGCGCTGGATCTTGTGTATTATATATATATATATATATATATATATATATATTTTACAACATTCCCAGGTTTGCTCCTTGAAATGTCCCCAGAAAGCACAGTGTAAGCAATATTAGATAAATATTAGAAAAAAAGGCATTGAGTCACGCAAGAGGGCGTCAGAAGTTCTTTACTAATATGTAGAGATATATTGCCTCCCTATACCCTCACAATCCGACATACATTAGACTATGTACATACAGTAAATATATTTTTTAATAGTGACTCCCTTACAGGCTTAGTAGCACTAGTTTACTTATGCATCAATATATGCCCATCAGTACTTTTCATAATTCTTCCAATGTGTGGGGTTTGGCTGGTAATGACTGGTTCATGCAATTGTCCTGCATGTCCAAAACTCTCACCTCACAAGACCATATGGCCAGGCTGTGGGAGACACTGGAGAAGTGAGCACTGTGTACCCACAGCTCTGTATGAGCTTTTAAATTCTACCACTGAGCAACAGTAATGTTGGCGGCCAGCCTTTCAATAAACTGATGATATAACATGGTTTTTATTCTATAAATACAATATTATAGTGGACTGTGTCATGCCAATGGTGCATAATACACTGTTGCACAATAGAATTTTGCCATTTAATGTAATTTGTGTAGTGCATATATGCATTGGCCACTTGGTAGAGGTCAGATGACAGAAGGGTTAGTGTAAATTGTATAGGAATGTGAAAGGGGGCAGATGGTTTACGGCATGGATTGATACTTTGATTAATCAAAGGCTCTGTAAGATGTGAGAAGTCACACATAAGTGGCCTGGAATTAAAGGATATTGATAAGGAATGTAAACTAACTGACTTCAACCATATGGCCTATACCTCTTAATTGATGAGTACATTTCTTTGATATGTTAATGATCATTTGCCTTCAAGAAAAGCCTTGTGTTCCAGTATCATATCCAAAAGAAACATTAATACTTACCCAGAGAAAAATAATTAAGCCTCATTTTTATTATATTTAGAATGGGACAAGCACAATCTTCTAGTCAAGCCCAAACATGATTTGCGTAACTTAACCATAGGGGAAGGGATTTTGATGTCGGCTATATTGGGTCACAAGTAAGGAGTGTGACATATCTATGGAATGGAAAAATAGTAACAAATTCATAGATGCATATATTATTTCTTTGGCAAGTACATAAGAGGAGATAGAACCATGTTTCCATTTAGATTGATGTTGGTCTAGAACACAAGGGGGTGGTCACTTATTGTTTCTATAGGTACACATTAACTCAACCCCTGAGCAAGACTTAGTAATCCACAGGGTATATATTAAATTATTCTAAAATGTGTGTTGTACTTGCTTGGGGTAAGAATCTAATTTTGAGTGAGTCACCATATTCCTTGCCAGAGTCCCCCTGGGTAGAAGTTGTACTTTGAAAACCTGAGTAAGTGATTACGACTTCTGTTATTTTATCCCTTTTGTTTTATTTGTTGTTGGTGTAAATAATTTGTTTATCATCTATTTTTTGTATGCACTGTGATTTTTTTTTTTTTGCTCATAATAAATATTCCTTTGTTAAGTTCTGCCTTTGTCTGGTAAAGGATCACGTTACCTGAAGAGACTAATTTGTATTTTGCAATTACACAAATATTGTCCTAAGTTGTATTTGGTTTATTTTTATTATTAAGTTACGTGGGGGACCTAGGCACCCCATTTATAAATTGTCCTGGTGGTGGCAGTATTAAAATAGTAATATTTATATTATTATGATTAAGTGTGGGTGGTGTTAAGTGAGATTTTATCATTATTTCCAGGCTAGTGTAGACAAATAGTGAACTTTAACTCTTTCACCACCACAACTACATCACGCACACTCTTGAAGTAGGGTGCGTTCGCGACAGACTTGATTTAAAATTTTTTGAAAAAGTGCTGGAAAGGTTTTGGACAAAGGGCTCAACTTAAGTCACAACTTTTATATTTTAGCCTACATTTTGCAGTTAGACTTTAAATTTAGTACAATTCAATGTTAAGTAAATAAACCAGAGTACACTGGAGCATAGCTGAATGATGGACTATAAAGAATGGAGGAGATGAAGTTTCTCCTTAGATGTGACATTTCAGCAAATACCACAAGTCAATATGCTGTGTGGGTATAGGGAATAAAATAAATAAATATAGGGGCGGAGCTTGACCGCCATGCGGAGAAGTCGCATGTAACCAGAGCTACTGCAAAAAGGCAGACTTTAAGCTATCCTTTTTTTTTTTTTTAATTCTTTATTTTTACATGACAAGAACAGTGGCATAGAAATTGCATTTCGGCTTGCACAGAAGCCCCTGTACAACGGTCTAATTAAAGCATGTTTCCCAGGTTGTACCTATATGTGGGATTGCTCTGTGGCTATACGTCACCGTCCGTCACGGTTTTTACCATATATAAGCCTGGTTTTCTTAGATCCCCTGTTGTGTGTGTGTGCCCTCTCATCTATATTTTGCACCGCCAGTGTAGTTTCAAGCCATCGAGTGCATGGCTGTCGGGCTGCTAACGTCTGTTGCCTGTCTACCCTCCCGACTGCTGGAGTCAACCCCCTCCCACTGCACTCCCCCGTCTCGCCTCCGTCTGGTGCATGTTTAGTATGCTGCTGGCACTCTCTCCTAGGCAAGGTCCCCAGAGAGGGGATTAGAGAAAGAAGAAGTGAAAAGAGATAGAATAGAAAAGAGAGAGGAGTCCTTAGGCAGCCCCGGGCTCAGGCCCAGGAGGGCGAGGGGCGTAAGGGGGGGAGGGGGTCCCGCTGTACAAAAACTGCCCCTCCCTCCGCTCGGGGCCTATCCCACCTTCCCCCTACACCCTCCCCCCATCCCCAACGCCCACCTCGGTCTATTTCACTATGTCGCGCCCCTCCTTCCACCATCGCCCCACCAGGACCCATCCCACGGCTCCCACACCTGTTGAAAGGTTTGAGAGGTGCCCCTGACCCTAGCCGTGATGTCATCCATCACCCGTATGTCTTTTATCCTATCTATCACACTCGTAATCTGCGGTAGCTCCTGCTGTAGCCGCTTAAAGGCCATAGCCTGTCTCGCTGCTAGCGTAATCTTATGGAGCAGCCGTTGCTCCCTTCGTGTCCATCCCTCGACCGATCTCCTTAGGAAGTAAACCCATGTTTAGAATGCGGGTGTCCTGGAGAACACCTGTGTCACCAGGTTATGCACCTCCGCCCAAAATTGCCTTGCTCTGGGGCATTCCCACCACATGTGATAGTACGTTCCCTTGGTCCCGCAGCCCCTCCACCATAAATCTGACGTAGTTTTGTGCATTTTGTACAGGGTTACGGGAGTGGAGTACCAGCGAAACATTGTTTTAAACACTTGCTCCTGGTGCCGTACACAGATGGAGGAGGTGTTATTCGACTCCCATATCTCCTGTCATTCCACCCCCCTCTAGCTCTTCTCCCAAGTCCTTCTCCCACCTCTCTGTATATGCTAATCCCCCCATTCCCCGGACTCTGTGCAGAAGTGCATGTACAGTGTTGAGATCAGTCGTCTGGGTATGTTTTCTAAGGTGCATATGCACTCAAAAAAGGTGAGGGTTTTTATCGCTGTTTCCTTTATGTGAGGTTGGGCTGTGAAGTCTCTAATCTGTATATAGCGGAAAAAGTCTGTCGGTGTCAGATGCCTACCCTGTCGGAGTTCGTCGAATGGGACCATGTCGTTACCCCGATATAAATGATGCAGCCTCTGTAGGCCCGCTCTTTCTAAATTCCGAAAATTTCACGCCTCTATTTCCGGGTAAAAGGCTTTGTTGCGT